AGGGTGACCGGAGACCTGGTGCAGGATGGCGATCTCTTTGCTGGTTGATAAGCGGACTTCTTCCAGCTGCTGGGGGGTCATGCGTTCTGGGGTTACCTCAATAATCTTTACTGCAAACTCCTGTCCTGTCTGCTTATGTATACATCGCCGGACCACACTGCTTACTCCTCTGTGAGCAGAATGAGCAAAGGATGTGCAGAAAAAAAATCAATTTTCCAGAAACGCTAATGTCCCAGCAAGGAAAAATACATTTGAGGTATTTCCACCCTTCCAAGCCATTCCATTGCATCACGTCCCTCCTCCCTACTAGCCTCACCTGCCAATAACGTCCTTGGGATCGTATTTCTGGTAGAACTCCTTGGCTCCAGCCCAGTCTGGAAGCTCGTCATCCAGGCCCACATCTCGTGTCATTTTATAGCAGGGTTGGTAAACCACAGGTTCCAATTCAGCTTCTGAAATGCATAAAGAGGCAAAGGGAAAACTGACCAAAGTGCCGGATGCTTTCTGGACTCCGGAGCAGCATGCATAAATCTAAGAGGAGGCCTAGGTGAGGAAATAAACCTTCGTGAAGGCAGCCTCAGGCCGAAACATTCCCGTGCACACATGGCTTTCATGATGGACATCATGGAAGAGACAAAGGAAAAGGGCTTAATTGGAATCTCTTCTCTGAAAATTTCATTCAGTGGCAGGATGGATTCTAAGACATACGTTAACCCTCAAGGCACTCTCCCCTACCGTCAAAGGGAGCTGCTATTCCTCCTTTGGATTTATGTACAAATAAACCATCAACCAATCAATCATTTTGCATCCTTGTGCTACAATGGGGTAGATTCCCCGTTCCTGTGAGCAAATCAGGGCAAAATAAAAAGCCTTGTGAATTTTTTTTCCCTCCAAGGGAGCAAAAATGCCACAAACATTCGACACACATGCCATATATACAGTGTATAGAAAGTAATGGGATCAGGACTTCCAGTTTGTCGGCTTCGCGAGCGGTAGGGATTCGCGAAGCTGTGCGATCCCTGCCGCGCTAGCCGTTTTTGGGGCTCCGATCCGGACGGATACGGAGCTAGGCTGCCCTGCAGGGGCAGCTGAAGGTAGGGGGGCCGGGGAGGGGTTTGGGGGTGTTGCAGACCCCCTCCCCGGCCGGCAGAACCCCCTTTTCCCAGGACGGTGCAGTGGCGGTCCGTAATGGCCGCCACAAAGAAGCTGGCAGCCGGGTAAGAATGCGCAGGAGGAAGTGGAGAAAGTGTTTGGAAGGAGAAAGTTTTTCTTGGTTCCTAGGACTCTAAGACATATTTAACAAAATTCCTGAAAAGTATGACATTCTGAATGATACCTTCTAAAAGAGGAAAAAAGCGGCAGTTTGATGGTGCTGAAAGGAAAGCTTACCCTCTTTTCCTATGGAATAAAAAGTGAATATTAAGAAACCTATTTTTTTTTTAGGTGAAAACTGGCTTTAAGCGATGAGTGGGAAGAGAGAGGATTAAAAAAAATATATCTGTATGCTAAGACTTTGTTGGAGGAGATGCTTTAAGGATTGAAAGACTAAAATATATTGCAATAAGATTTTAAGAAACAGATTTGGACTTTCTTTTTTTCTGATTGACACTACCCTAGGAGGTGAAAGTGAGAACTCTGCCTTGGTTTGGACTGATTGATAACTTTGGGACTGTTTTATCTTTCCTTTGGAATATTTTGGTTGCTGTAAGAAGAAAGAAAGGGAAAAGAAAAGAAAAGATTTATAATGGCTCTTTCTATTGAGGAACTGAGAAAAGATTATGAACAAGCAAAAAAAATGGTAAAGCTGGTTTGAAAGAAGCCTTCCTTTTTTTAGAAATGGCGCTTATTAACTATCAACAAACATTACAACAGATGAAGACAGCAGAAGAAGGAGAGGCAGCCATCTTTAATAAATCTCAGAACTTGACCAAGAAAGAAGGAAGAGGGGAAGGAAGAGAAATAAAGGACTTAAGATTTAAAAAAACATTGAAGAAAGGGAAAAATAAGATGCAAAATCAATATAATGATAGTAAACAAAAGGGAAAAGGAATACGACAGAGAAGGGAAGCCAGTAAGGCAGAGGCTAGAAGAAGGGGGGGTAGAAAGGTTTGTTGGGAGAAGAAAGAAAGGGAAAAGGTGGAGAAAAGCTACAAAGTTTTGAAATTAAATGGGAAAAAAGGAATCTTTTTTAGGGATAAAGGATAAAATATAATTTCTTCAAAGAGATTTTGCAAGGTACATAAGATGATATTGTAGTATTGTATTAGAAATAGAAAACTTAAATGGCTTAAGAGTTGATAAGAGATTAAAATGTTGAAATGTTTAATAATGATTGGTTTTAAAATTTAATAATATGAGGGGAGGTTTAGTATTGAGTATTAATTAAAGAGTTTAATAAGATTATGGTATTGATGTTATTATAAAATTTTTATTATAGTATTTGTTTTTAATATTTAGATTTATTGTTTAACTATGTATTTAATTATTTTGGATGTATTATTCAGATAGAATGTACCAAGCAAAATCGGATTGGGTATTGGGTGTTATTTTAAAGATTAACTTGATTAATTTAGTGGGGAGATGGAAAGGCATCATACTCTGATTAGTGATTTCAGGAGAAATTTCTTTTTTTTTATAAGGAATGAGACAAAGGTACAATAAAGAATGGACAAAAGATACAAATATAATGACTCAAATTAAGATGATTAATTAAGATAGAATTAAGAAGAGTGAAATATGTGGAGAAGTTAATATAGAAGACTTAGAATGGTAAATAAAATAAGTAATGATATGTAAGATGAGCATGAATACAGTTGAAGTCCATGAAGAGAGAGATACCTGGGTCCAAGTTACTTTCCAAAAAGATTTTTTTTTATGTTTTGTGTGTTGTGGGTATATGTTTTTTTTTCTGGGGAGAATTAATAAAACCTTGTAGAAATATAGAATGAGAATAATGGTAACTAAGTCAGAAAGAAATAGATGAAATAATAATAATACAATTGAATAAGAGTAAAGAGAAATAAAGAGAAATTGGATAAGAGGTTTTTGTATGTTTATATGGAAATGGTTTAAAACAGAATTATAGTTTATCTGACTTGTTAAGTTTATAATGGAAAAAGGTTTAAATATGTAATGGATAATGATGACTTGTGTGTTTTGAAAATTAATAAAACTTGTTTGTTTTTTTTTAAAAAAAAGAAAGTAATGGGATCAGAAGCATGACCAAGGAAAGATATTCCTTTGGAACATCCCATTAGAATATTCCACATATATATCAGCCTCTACAATTCCACATTTTGCCCAGAGTCACACCTTCTTTCTAATGTCTGCTTTTCCATTCCACTGGAATTCTTTACTTCTAAACCTAAAAATCCGTTTCAGACCCTCGTTTTAGCCTAATCACAATCTTATAATCTGAATCCAGCTTCTTCTCAATAAGAATGTAAATCTTGCAGATGTTTCCTTAAGGAGTATAAATGTCATTAAACTGAAATGGGATGGGGTTTTCCCCCACAAGAAAAGATGCATAAACCTGACAATATTGTCCAATGAGAGATCCTTGGTGTTCTCTGAGCCTAGCTGTTTTGTTGCAGAAGTTTCATTACCCAATATCAAATAACATCAACACTAACACTGATGATGTTATGTAGTTTGGGTAGTGAAACATCTACAAGAAAACAATCAACTTCAGAGGCCACCAAGGACCACTCTTTTCAACCCAGAGCTACAAAAATTCTCCTTTATTGGTTAATTTTAATAGCACAGTAAATCAAATTGGCTCTGAGAACATTCTACTTACTAGGATAACTTTCTAAACTTTGAACTGGAACTATTAGACAATAACTGTCCAAATACAAATATTCGCTTGTCACATTTGCTAAGAAATTTGAGAGTTGTAATCCAAGATTTCCAAATAATACCAGGAAAAAGGGGAAACATCCCAAGGCATTTATTTGTTGGTTGTGTTGCTGAATCTACAGGCTGAAATTCTCCATAATTTAGTATTAAAGGATATTAGAAGGACATCTCCCATATCTAAGCACTATTGATGGTTTTTTTAAAAAAAGGTAGCCGGAAACCTGCTTTTAGGATCTGGATTCTGTACATGAAGGTGTGTCAAAAGTGTATAAAATGTATAGGAATTTATCTAGAGTATGCCATCACTTCCATTTTATCTATGCCTTATCACACAGAGAGGGGGGGAGGGAGAGAAGGGGGAGGGAGGGAGAGGGGGGTTAGGGAGGAAGGAGGGACAGAGGACTTGTGGGAGAGGGAGGGAGGGAGGAAAGAGGGAGGGAGGGACAGAGGACTGAGGGGGAGAGGGAGGGAGGGAAAAAGATGGGTATTTGTCACTTTCCCCTGCACATGGTCCTTGCTTTCTAAGCAATACTGGGCTACCTTCCAAGGTTGTTGCAAAACTTACTCAGAAAGCAAGTACCACGCGCGAAGCACCCGAGACAGAACACAGAAAGCGCTGATTACAAAACGGGCAGAGAGGCTGCTCTGCAGCGAAAGCGTCCTCCCTCCTCCATCCACCCCCCCTCTCCTCCCAAGGTTCGCTAAGCCCAATTAGACAGGCACTCTGCGTATTCTCAGAAACTATCGGTTTGCATTCCAGGTTATCCGTGGCCTAGCAGCGACAAGCCGGGGTTCCAGGGTGGAGGGGTTCCGAGTCCCAAGATGCCGCCAACCATTATCCGCCCTTCCCGGCCCATAAGCCCCCCTCCCCTCACTTCCTCTCAGCCTTTCCTTCTGCAAGGGGGGCGGAATCTCCCGTTATATAAGCGCCGCCCGCACAAAGAGACACCGCGAGTCGCTCACCTGGCGGCGCCTCCACTTTAATTGAGTGAATGACCCCCCGCCCCGAATAATAGCCGGCGATTCCCGGGCCCCGCCCCTTCGATCGGATTGGTTCGCGCTGCCTTAACGCCGTGGGGTGTGACCAGAGCGACGAAAGGGATCTGTCCAGAACTGGCGACAGTAACGCCCAATGGCCAGGCGAACAGAGAGTGAAGGGAGGCGGGCTGTCTAAAGGCAGAAGCCAATCAAATGGAGGAAGAGAAGAAGAAAAAGAAGAAGAAGAAATGGAAGGGCGAGGATTAAAAAAAGGAAACGCTGTTTCCCACCCGCCACCGACGGGAGAAAGCTCGGCCAATCAGAATGGAAGGTGGTTAAGGTAGTCAGGAGGATGAACCAATCGACTGCTGGATTTGGACAAGGGAGCGAGAGGCGGTGCGGCTCGGTAAACAAACTCTGGGTGAAGCTTAGCCAATCGGGAAAGGGAAAGGGCGGGTGCTGGGTTATCCTAGGTTTCACGATCGCCAAAGGAAAAGGTCGAGTGACGGCCGGGGAATTCTCCCACGCCTTTCTTCAAGGCTTGGTCACGTGATCACACGGGGTAGTGTTATTACACACATATGCAAAGGTACACAATCTGCCCTAGCCGGACCCTCCGCCCGCAAGGCACGAGCCTCACGTCCTTCTGAAGTAGATTAGGATGGGCAGCTCAAGGTCACCCGCGTTCGCATCTAAATCTGGGCTTCCTATTGATCGGGCCGGTTTTCCTCCACCTTATGCTAATGCAAATATGACAGTGAGAACAATCAATCAATGGAACAGAAGTTGCTTTCGGAAGTTGTGGGAGCATCATCGCTTGAGACTTTCAAGAAGAGCTTGGATTGCCATTTGACAGAAATGATGTAGGGTCTCCTGCTTGGGCAGAGGGTTGGACTAGATGACCTACAAGGTCCCTTCCAACTCTGTTAATCTGAAATGTGTGGAAGCGGCCTTGCTGGGAATTATGAAAGTTGGAGTCCTGGAAGGGCATCAGGCTGGGAAGCGTGCTCTAACCACTACTCCTCAATGCATCCTGACTCCTTAGACAAGCTATGTTGCTGTTTTTAATCAATTTTCATCCAAAAGAGGCTTCTGCTTTCCAGTTTTATCTGCACAACAACCCTCCGAGGTGGACCAGGACTAAGAGAATGAAGGACTGGTCTGAGGTCACCCAAAGGGACTTTATAGATGGGGCAGGATTTGAAACCAACTCCCCACCTACCCCAATAAATGCTTCAATTCCACTTTAATCTTCAGGCTACCTTCTGTGCCCAACCATGTTATCTGCCTTTCCTGAGTTGGATGAGGAGAGCACATCTTTCTCCTGTTCTGGCCACTCTTTACAGAGGCATGATTGAGTGCATTTTAACAAACTACATCACTGTTTGGTTTGGTGGCAGCAGTGCCTCAGAGAGAAAGTCCATTCAGAGAGTGGTAAGGACAGCCGAGAAGATTATAGGAAGCTCTCTTCCCGCCATTCAGGATACTGCTTATAAGTGCTATGTGCTTAGAGCTCAAAGCATTGTCAGACACACACACACACACACACCCATTTCACGGTCTTTTTCTGTTGCTCCCCCTCTGGGAGGCGGTTTCAAAGTATTTCTAGCAAGACTACCAAATTCTGTAACAGCTTTGTTCCTATGCTATTCTGGTAAACTCACAAGATTTGTTTTTCTCGCCATGTACATGTATACATCCAAACTAGACAGTGTTGATTCTCTGTCATATAATACATGTGGGTATACAGTATGTATAATTTTGTATTTATTTACTTAATTGTTTTGTCATGTTTATGTTTACTGGAGATGGTGAGCCTTTGAGAGCTGTATGCAACCAAAATTTCATTTTAATGTATGCTGATTAGTGTACATTCAAAGTGACAAAATTATTCTAAGTATAAGTTATCTGTGCCATCCACAAGAGGAAAAAAAAGAGATTGCTGAATAACTCTACATTGAAGATATAGAGCTTGCTGACCCTCCCTCAAGGGCAAACTACTTTTGGTAGAAAGGGAGAGAGGGTGTTCTTTGAGCCCAAATGAGATGGTTTGCCCTGAAGCACACAATAATTCAAATTATCTGTATGCCAAATAAATTTGACTTCCTTTTTTCCACACTCAACCATTCTTTCACAGTCAGGGGTTTTCTATAGTAGGTGTATTTTTTCCATCAGGAAAGAACATTTCATGAAACAAATAGAAATATTTCAATCAAGTGCGGGTGCTTCTGAGAATCCAAATCCTATGGCAATCCTGGCTAGGAATGATGGGATGTGTACTCCAACATCTAGAGTACTTCAAATGGAGAAGGATGATAACAGATAGAACCAGCTAGGTGTCTTTCATTTGAGTAGAACAAATCCTTCTACATCATCTGCAGGAGAAAAAAATTGATGGCCACCATTTTTCCCATCCATGGAGCCAATTCAACAAAAAAATACTTCAGTGGTTGCTTGGCTTAATCCAACTGAAGAAACCACAATAGTAAACATGGACTTTGGAAGCCCAAAGTCATTAAATTATGTGGCTCATCATTCTGCTTTAGATATGAGGTAAGACATGAGGACTAGTAACATGGGGATCAGAATAAGAAGGGAAACCCAGACAATGATACTCAGGCAAGACAGAAGCCGAGATTTCCGAGCCCAATGAAGTGCTGCATTCTGGCAATGGGCCTTTTGCTTCTCATTAGCCTAAAGGAGCAAAAAAAAAAAAAAAAAAACACAACAGCTTTGTTATTTACTCTGGATGTAGACTAAAGACACCAGAAATCATTCATTTTAAGGAAAAATTCTTCTTAGCCTGAATTTGTGACATCGTGTACATTACTTGCTGAAATGGGTTGATTAAAAATTGATTAAAAGGCCCAATTCTGTAAGCTACTTAGATAAAACATGTAGGTTACACATTTTTAAGTCAAGTTTAATTTTGATTGGGTAATGTGTTCCAATGTTGAAAATTCAGAAAATTCAGTTTTACCCATTTTGGAGTAATTTATCAAGCTTGAGGCTAGACTAATGCAGGATTTCAATAGGGATGGGTGGGTGGGGGGTTAAATAGATCACCCAGGTGCAGGTTAAATGTGAGACAGATTACATATTTCATGCAAAAAACAAACAAAAAATTAAAATTATTTTTAAAGAAAATAAGACTACAGGTCAAATGGAAATACAGAAACAGAATCATAGGGTTGGAAGCAGAGTTGGTATTCAGCAAGTTCTGACCAGTTCTGGAGAACCGGTAGTGGAAATTTTGAGTAGTTCAGAGAACCAGCAAATACCACCTCTGACTGGAGATTTTACAATATCCTTCCCCTGCCAGGCCCACCAAGCCACGCCCACAGAACTGGTAGAAAAAAAATTGAATCCCACCATTGGTTGGAAGGGACCTTTGAGGAGCAGAAAGCAGGCCCAAAGCAGGAGACCTTATACCAGGTGTCAACTCATAAAACATTTTGCTTACACGTTTTATAGTTGACAACAGAAAGAAGGGGGGGGCGAGTTTCAAACAGCAGGCAACAGTGCGGAATTGAAAGTACATTCCATTCATATTTTCTTCAAAGACTGATTAGATGGCTGAAACTTCTGGGGGGGGGGGAAATCTAATTGGAGAGAGCATAATTGATGACTCTTGGCTATAGATCTTTTTCGTTGGATGATACGCCCAGATGGTTGGGGGGGAAAGCAGGATCAAGGGTGGCCGTGAATTATGTATCTCAGCTACGCCCAGGTTAGTGCTGGACTAATGGTAGCTTCAAATAAATCCTCTTTAGTTTTGGGAGTGTGGCTTGAGGCTCATGATTTAATTGGAGTAACTGCCGGGAACCCTGACACCAGGAGTGTCAAACAGTGGTGGGATTCAATTTTTTTTACTACCGGTTCTGTGGGCGTGGCTTGGTGAGCATGGCAGGGGAAGGATGCTGTAAAATCCCCATTCCCTCCCCACCCCACTAACCTGCTTTCCAGCTCCGTTCTTCTCTACAGGGCAGCAAAAGAAGACCTCAGCCAAACAGCTGGGACTTGGGAGGCAGAGAATAGATGGGGGAGACGAGGCCACTCAGAGGTAGTATTCTCAACTACTCAAAATTTCTGCTCCAGAACTGGTCAGAACCTGCTGAATACCACTGCTGGTGTCAAATTCTATTTCATTGAGGGCCACATCAGGATTGTGTTTGACCTCGGAGAGCCATGGTGGGAGTGGCCATGGTGGGTGTCACCAACTCGACGTCACTCATGTCAGGGGAACCTATGGTGGCCAAGTGCTAAGGCAGGACTTCCCTGAGACCCTCCTCAATCTCATTATAATCCTTCCTTTTCTTTTTTCTTCCTTCTCCTTTCTTCCTTGCTCTCTTCCCGTCTTTCCTTCTCTGTCTTTCCTCTTTCTCCTTTCCTATCCCTTCTTGCAAGCTCAAATACAAAAGGGGAAACATTTCTCCTTTTGTTTTTAGTTTGTTTTGATAGCCCTCTGCCAGTGAAAACAGAGCCCATGGAGGGCCCATGCCCCCCCCCCACATCCTATTGAGAGAGAGAGAGAGAGAGAGAGAGAGAGAGAGAGAGAGAGAGAGAGAGAGAGAGAGAGAGAGAGAGAGAGCGCCGTTGAAGGATATAATGGGAAACTGGGTGGAAAGAAAATTGCTTTGAAGGAACTAGGCCAGAGCCACTTAGGCCAGATGGGTGGCGTAGGAATTTAATAAAATAATTAAACTTCAAAGAGGAAGCAGCCAGACGAAATAACATTTTGTCATGGGTTTCATTTGTGAATTGCTAAAAGCAAGGTTGATTTTTGCTTTCCTCCTGCCCTGAAGGAATACTTTGGCCAGTCTTCCAGCCATAAAAAAGTGAAGCTGCGAAGCTCCATTGTCAATTCTTATGAAATGTGATTGTGATTGAATGTCAATGTGATTGAATGCTCTCCCTTAAAACATTCCAGAGGCTGCACATTTTCAGGGCAGGATCAGTGGTGGCCCAAATCTTTTACAAGGATTATAAACTTCGCTCTAGTTTTATAGGAAATCTTGTCCCCTGCAATTAGTTCTATTTGTCCATTAATTAATCTTGGGTAAGCCTTTAAGCTACCTTAAAAATTCATTTGTTTCTTCTAGCATTAGCGTTGTACAGCCCACTTCATGAGAGGCCTAAGGTACCTTCCTTAAGGGAATGAGGATTCATGCCTTTTAAAAACCTTACAGCCCATGGAACGCAACAGCTCTCCTGTTTTAGAATTTGACACTTTTGCAAAATATTGATTAGGATTTGCTACCTGAAGGTAGCATGGGGATTTTAATGAACATCAGGTCTAGGATAGTTATTTTCCGCATCTGCTTGAGGAATATATTCTCCCACCATTCAAACCCCACTCTATTATAATCTTCAGTTGTTGAGAATCCTATAAGTATAAGCCATACTAGGTATCTTGTGAAAATCTCGGTTTTCAGCTTTGAGAAATGGAAAACAATTCATTCCCTTCTCCTTTGGATGTAATTAGGTCTACTAGATGAAGACATTAGCTGTGTGATCCACTTTAGCAAACCCTCAAAACAAAAAAGCCCCTTTTCTCTATGTGCCATACATCATAGGTGATTTTATGGCATGTGGGCTTTTCTTCTCTCTGGTAATGATGGCAACCAGGGCCAAAAGTGATGAGGGAAAGATTTTATTTGGCATAGGTTTTAAATACTTCTTTTTTGGATCAGTGGATATATTTGGGAAAGAAAGATCATACCATTATTCCATATTTTTATTAATATAGTTTTCTTAATCTCCAGGAATTATTTTCCCAAAGAAAATTGAACTCAGTGTTGTTCTCTTTCTCAGGGAACACGGAACAAAGACATTAATTTTATCACCAACTTTCCAGCTTTTTCATTATGGGAAATCACTCACCTTGACTGCATAAATCAGAGCCAGGACCCCAATGCACGAACAGCCACAGATGATGCTAGCTATGGCCAGGTTGCGCAATCTGTGCACATTCAAAGCGGGGGGCTTGCCACGGTTGTCACCTTCCAAAGTGCCCGGTCCTGCCATACCTCTGCTCTCCACTTCATTGAGGACCCCCATTTCTTCATCCATGACTAAAGGATACACCACCAAGTTGAAGAAAAAACAAAAGGCCAGAGAGAAGTTCCCTGAAGATGGGCTCCAGCACAAGTCCGAAAGCTCGTAAGATAAAACCTCTGGTCCCGTGATTGACCCAGATTGGATTCTGCAATATTATCCTGGGACACGTATATTCGCCTTTATTCGTAAAAAAGCTTGATTCTTTTGCTCTTTCAGTGATTCACATTAATTATCTGAGGCTTCAGGATACTATGGTAGCCCGAGGTTGTGAGTCTACTTACAGAGGCTGGAAGTGTGAATGTCTTCATTTCATTTGGGAGACCTGATTTCCAACTCTGTGTCTTGGTGTGGCATGGAGAAGAACCACATCATCTTGCCGTCAAGTCTTCTTTGAGCCAAGCTCTTGTGCCTTGAATTGATCCGGGCCAAATTGTTCTGAAGCCATTCGAGGCAGAACACCACCAGACAGGCAACTTTTTCACAAACAGAATGTATAAGATTAAGATTAAGAGAGCTTTTTGACCGGGTCTTTCACTTGGCTCTTGTGGCGAAGGTAGGGAAGAACAGAAAAAAACAAGTCTTAAGAAAAGACTTACATCCAACATAACTCGCACCTCTCTTGATGTTTACTGTTCTTCTGAACATTTTTCCTGGTTTTCTCTGGCTGCTATGTACTCACACGCCCACCAGTTTCGCCTATCTTGGGTTGGGTTCCCACTGCTTTCTCCATGAAGTCATGTTTGAATCATTCCGGTTGAACTCGTGGCCTCTCCTCTCTTTTCTTTTTCCAGTCTGCTTTCTGGGTGCTGCTGTCTTGAGAGGTTCAACTGGAAATCTCTGCCAGGCTCTGCAAAGGAGCCGAGAAAGACTTCCAGGCTGCCTTCAACTAATAAAAACGGCTGGAGCCTGGCAGATTAGATAGGGAATATTCTGAGTTATACCTCCGAGGCAGGGTGGGACAATGAAGAGGAAATCAGATGACTTAAGGAACAGCAGCTGGCTTACCTATCCAAGTAAGCTTAGCAAGAGCAATAGGACTTATATAACACTTCATAGTGTTTTATGCCCCCCTCTAAGCAGTTTA